GGAGGACATCCATCACACAGTAATCTCGTGCATGGGAAATTAATGTCTCCTACCCCAACCCTGCAGGAGACGGGACCTCCATTTATTCGTCCCTATTCGGGAAGACTAGAATATCTAACCATTTCTAGATGTTAAAGAAAGGAAGCATATTCTTCTCAATTAATTTTAAGACCCTGAGCGTTGGTCCGGCCGGTATTGAACTCTCGACCTCCCGCACAGCAGTCCGGCGCTCTCCCAATTGAGCTAACCAGGCGGCGGAGGTACCTTCTTGACTGCCACGATCGCATGAGTTTCCTGATCTTCAGCCTTGTATACTGTGGCGAACTAAACCATAATTCAAGACAAGGTTAAAAGAAATGTCATTATTTAACTAATCGCACGATTTTTTTTCGCTCTGTACCTGTCCTTCTCCCAAGAAATCAATCTTCTTGTATCGTTTTGAACGTCCCTCCATTTTGTTTTCACTTTTCCTTCGTTTGGGACTGGATACTAAGATCTGGATAACTACTTCATGTAATTATGCAGTCGCCACAACATGGAAAGTAACCACAACTGTTTTGGCGAATGTCTCAGGGGTCAACACTCAAAATTGGGGATGTGGAGCGATATATTTCCAAGCTCACCTTGAGCAGCAAAGGCTCAGAAATTGGACGCACTTGGGTGAAAATAATCATAAAGTTGTAGGGCAAGCTATTCCTGAGATAACTGTAGCCCGTGTGAATTATTTTGCGACTGGAAGAGTTTCTTTAGATTAAGTAAAAGTTTATTTTCACGTCTCGCCGCTTTATTACAAGTAAAAAGACTGTTGCAAATTTCAGAGTTTGAACGAGCAGTTTTCTTTTTTGTGGGCATTCAACTGAGGGGAGTAAAATACACCTGTTCAGGAGAACGTGACGTTGCGTTACATTTATGGTATTTTTAAAATGAGTGACAGGGATCAAATGTCAAGTTCTTTTACTTCGTTCGAGATTCTGCCTTGTGAAGATCGAGTATTTGCCAAGGAGGTTTTGTCCTTAGTCAGAATAAAGTAAAACTTTGTGTTTAACCGCGGATTTATTGAGTCGTTCTTAAGAACACCTGAATAGTAAAAAGCATCACATATTTCGTATCTCTTTCATCTTTCGGGTCTTGATCTCACGATAAAGTGAAAGAGAAGCGATCAGTCGGCTGAATTGCCATCTTTTCCAAAACATTGGCGGTTGCAGATAAGCTTTCAAGTTGTGTTTCCATTGATTTTTCCAACTTTGCATATGTTTCAGGTAGGTCACCCAGCAGTTTAATCCCGCGAAAGTAATTTAAAGTGCACATCCATTCTTGGGTTTAATCGCTCCTCAAATCGCACACGTGGTCCACACCTCAGGCAATAAGAATGAGCTCTCTCAGAAAGAACATCTTTTTTTATCCTTATTCGATGACATAAGTGATTCCAAAGCTATGTGGAGCCTTGAATGAACTTTCTTATTCTCTCTGAGTCGTTCTTAAGGTCCACGTTTTTGGGGTCTAGTTTGAGTGCTAATTCATAGTCTTGAAGAGCTGAAGAAGAAAATAATAATAAAAAATAAAATGAAAACGAGGTCGATACTCATGTTTGGGACCATTTTTGAAAGTCTCTTTCTACAGCAAAGTTCTTCTAATTTTGTTCAGACGCTGTCTCGTGTTTGGTGAAAAAAGATCTGATAACCCATTAAACAGAGATTTCAGAGCTGCTACTGCGAAAACTCGTGCTCTCTTAGGGTCTGTTAAGTCGGAATTTTTTTTTCCTTAAAGGGCAGCTGTACACAGAATACCTTATTCTGTGGCCGAATTATCTGCTAAATGGCAGTCTAGAAATGGTGTATATCACAGACATGCTCCAAATTTTCATGACCTCTCGTTTTAACCAAACGATTTCTCAGTCAAAAGAATAAAGGGGGTAAGTTTCTAAAGAAACTGTGGCGCTGCACACGTCGGTGGGGGAGTGTAACAACACAATTTGGTTTTCTCAACTGTGTTGATAATGTAAATTGTCACCGTAAAGAGTTTCAAACCTAACGAGGGGCTAACTCTCGAAACGTCGGCTTTGAAACTCCTTACGGTGGCTTATTTACATAATCAACTCAGTTGATTAGAAACAAATTTTCTTCATTTCTTGAAAAGGCTGTCGCTACAAAGAGGCGTGTATAATACACTAAAATGATGATGCCAGTATTCCCATACACCGGCCTATAAAAGAGCCCTTTCTTGTTTAATCATTAAAGTGAAAATTATGGTCACATTTCTAAAAGTTAACGAAAATTTCCGAGGTTGTAAACATGACCTAAAACATCGCGATGAAAACCCGTTCACTCACCCAGCACATATTCTTGTATTTGCATGTACGCGGTCCCTCTTCGGACATGCGCTTTACATCTGGAAGCACAGTTGGCCGGAACTGGAGGATCAAGGAGTTCTAGGGACTGTGAAACGAACGTAAACAGAAGTGAACTCAAATGAAAGAAAACTTACTTTGTACTAAGAAAATAAAAATTTGACGAGTCTTACACTTGTACAGTCTTGAATGCACTCTTTGTACTGTTTTAATTGAAGATGACAAGCTGCACGATTAGAATATAATCTTTACAAAGTCAAGGAAAGAATCTCATTTTTAACCGAGTATTTGCCACAACTCAAATTTGTCGTGTATTCAACTGAATTGCCGCATCTACGTTTCAAAAACACTTGTGATTATATTTATTTTCACTAAAACCCGTTTTCATTTGCGTAACGAACAATTCAATAACTGACTAACAAGACGTGATAAAAAAGACAAAAAAAGGCGAATCGCGGGTTTTCCCCTTGGCCACTGTTCCCCTTCTCGCCCTTGTGTCCTACGTTTTCTAACATAATAAAAATACGGTGCCTCTTTGTTACGATCCTAAAATTTTGCTTAACTTGCTTTGATCTTATTTTCAAACGTTTTTTTAAGACCACGGTAATTTTATCTGTACGTACTATACGAAAATAGTGAGGTCATCGTCTTTTTAGTAAGTGTTTCTTCCAGAAAGCGTTTTCTATCTCTCTTGCAAAATTTTTTTCTTACAACTTATTGCTATCGAATATAAGGCGGGGAAATATTCTGAAAACTTTTTTTTGGGTCCTCTTTTGAACTGCGGAAAGAAAGGTAACAAACAGTTTGAGACAGAGAGAGAGAGAGAAAGGGTATGACAGCAAGCTTCTTTTCGTCAGTCAAAGGATACGATGGTATTGAGTCATCAAGTACAATGGCTGCTGTGAATGCATTGATAGCCGCAACATAGTTACCAGCCTTGTAAAATCCACTGCAAAAGAAACGTCAACAACATCAAACTAAGAGAAAGCGCAGAATAATTTTGATTCACTGAACGGAATTCTTAAGAAGTCTGGAGTAAAAGTACTTTTTAAGCGCAATAAAATACAACTTAATGAGTGCAATTAAAAAAGGAGGCATAGTTACCAGAAGCTACAAAATGTTCCCAAATTCAGTCAATTACCCCGGCTTCAGTGATTTTGCTTAGAACAGTATAGAGAATTTTTATACTGAAGTTAGAGCGTAAAGGGAGCAAACTCACATTCCTTTGTCTTTAAGCCACACTGGGTTCATTTCTTCCATATCAACAGCATCAGTGTTGGCAGTATCTGTTTTGCGGCTTGCACTTGCCATCTTTTTTAGCCACTATGAAAAAAAGAGATCTTTATGTTTAACTTCTAAATAAAAAATATCGCTCTCTTACAACCTCTAACGGTGTCAAATGTGTTATCCTTTAGTGAAGGGTCACCTCTTTAATCCTTTGACTCCCAAGAGTGACCAAGATTGAATTTCTCCTTACAACATCAATAAAATATCAAGCAGAAAAGTGTTGAGAATAAAGAAACCTGTCAAAAAGGGTTTTTTTAGTTGATCCAAAAGCAAATTCTCCAAACTTACATGATAAGAATTGTATGGCAGACAGTAAGGAGAATTCCTAAGAAGATCTTGGCAGTGAAAGGGTTATTAAAAGGAAAGTATTTCATTACTTTTTATCTGAAGCCCTAAACTATGAAAAAATTTCAGATACTAAACTAATGCAAGGCCATGCCTTATTTGTGGTAGGAGTGGCGGGGGGGTTGATGATCTGTTTTTCAGTTTCAGAGCCAGTACACTGTGTGTAGCCCTGAACAAAACTACAGGATTATTATATGCAAACTGAAGTTACTGTAGAAGCAATAAGAAAATGAGAAAAAGGCCTGGACTTACAGATAAGAGTGAGAAAAAGAAAGAGTTACCTCTTCTTCCTCTGGTGCTTTAGATTCTCTTGCAGCTGTTTTGAAAACACGAGGAGTGAATGACACTGAAATGGAGCCAGAAGCCCTTGGTTCTGGAACTGACTTTTCAAGGAACTCTCTCTTTTCATCTAAAGATGGTGACTATATTGTCAGAAAAACAAACTACAGCAACGTAACTAAAGAGTTTCATTCAAATAAAAACATGCATGGTTTGTAAACAACAGATCTCAAAGAAAAGGAAACAAAGAGATTATGAGAAGGTTTATAAAGCTAACATTTTCTGCCAGTCACCTAAATTTTGTAATAGGCAAAAGCAAAAAAACTGGATTTCAAACCATTTGTCCTTTGTTTGTTGGGAGGAGCCTGTTTCTTTGCTGCTGGTTTTGGAATCAGCTCATGATTTTTGCCCACAGTCAAGTCAGCATTTGTTTCAGACATGAAAGTGTCTTTAGATCGAATCACATTATCCTTCAAACTATCTTTTTCTTCTTCTATACTTGTAGACTGCAATTTCTGATTTTCTTTCCATCTCTCAATGGCCTCTGTTGCTTTTTTACGTTCTTCCTCCTTAATAGCATCGATTCTGGCTCTTTCTTCCTGTTCCAGCTAACATTTAAACACAAACAAGAAATTAATGTATTTTGTAAATAAGGATGTAATAGAATTTTGTTTTGAGTAACATTAGACTGAAATCATACTTGTGATTTCAAATTGGACTTGCATTGGGCATTAATTTAATTTTGAGATCAAGCACATGATTTCAGGCAAACTGCTCTAAAATCCGTTCAATTAGCGATCATGAAATTAAAATAAAAATAGGGGTATCAATATGCATGATCGCCATCTCAACAGAATTTTAATACGCCAAACCTTCATCTGTTCTTGAAGGGCCAATTTTTCTTGTTTCCGTTTCTCAGCTGCTTTCCGTTCCTTCTCTTTTTCAGCTTTCTCGTGCGCCTTGCCAACAGCTTCCTCCCGTTTTCTTATCATGAACTCTTTGTCCTCCGATTCTGGTGCGTGTAACTGGTTCCATTTTGATGAGTTCTTCTTTACCAATTGAAACTTGATAACTCCACTACCAAATGTTGCCTTACTCTTGGTATCTTCGACCTCACTGAATAGGCAGACTTCAAAGATATACGGAGGATAGCTAACCTATAGGTGATACTCTGTTAGGATTTTTTCATCAATAACATGCGACATAGGAAACTCTTTCCATTTCAATCTATCGCGACCGACAGTGTGAACACATTCAAAACTAACCTTGATATAATCGTCTATTGAAAAAATATCCACTCGATTTGACGGCACTCCTTTCAACGGAACAGTAATCAAAACCGTTTCATCGGTTTCCTCCCAAATGTAGTCCTTCACCTGAATCGGCATGTTACTTCTTCCAAGTCATCGCAAGAGAATCGTCCATCTTTGTGTCTCAAGTACAATTTCTTCCAGGCACGTTTCTAAGTAGTTCCCAGATCTCATGCAATTTCAAAGATGGCGGACACGAGTGCTCGACGCAAAGTCGGTGTCGGTGTTGGTGTGTTTATAATCTCCCCTGATCACCCTAACTGTGTCATAGTCGGACAGAGAAAAGGGTCATCTGGGAGTGGGAAGTATGGATTGCCTGGTGGACATTTGGAATTTGGGTGAGAAAATCAAAACTACAGAATACAGGGCCACTTATTTACATCTCATTGAATCACAATGCATCCTTTTGTTTTCTGCCTCGTTCTTCAAAGCATGCCGACAAGGTGGACCTCAATGGCCCTGTATTCTGTAGTTGCTCCGAGTTATGGGGGGGGGGGGGGGAAGGTGTATTGTTAAATTTTGGCAGCAAAGAGAACCCCAAGGCAGTAACCACTGGCTAATGTAGGTGTTGTTTAATTTGTACTAAGCCAGCTATCTGCTGTGGGTTAGAAGTGATCATATCAATGCAAGTTTTCTGATTTTATTAACAGTGAAGAATGGGCTGAATGGGCAGTGAGAGAAACCTTGGAGGAGACCGGACTTAAGATAAAGAATGTTTCATTTGGAACTGTAGTAAATGCAGTTGTTTCTGAAGAAGATTATCATTACATAACAATTTTCATGAAAGGAGAAATCGATGACAGCCACGCAAAAGAGCCAGAGAACTTGGAACCAGATAAATGTGAAGGTAAGGAGAAAAAAAGAAAACATCCACTTCTCTGCCAGAAAGCAAATGCTGCCAGAAAGCAAACCCTGCCATAGCTTTTGTCAGTTTATATAGCAAAAAGCTTGGAGTACTGTCTTTTTTTTTGGCTAAACTGAATGTCATTCTGTCTGAGTGTAACATGATGTAGTGACCCAACCAAAACTTGAACCCAGCAAATGGTCCAGTTCCATGCTTGATTGCTGAGCCTTTAAACAGGAGTGAGGCTAATGGTGACCTCATTAAGATACAGATGTTGCTACTTTTCAATGGTAAATCACTTTGTTATCATACTAACTAGATACTAGTCTCCAACACACCAAGGTCACCTTCAACCTCACTTCAAATCAAAGGCTTGGGAACCAAGTACACAACTGTAAAATGGTCTATTCAATCCACCAGTGGCCCTCTACATTTCCTGTTTTTAATACTCTTTATTTTTATTATTGCATAAGTGACAAGTCACTCCAGATTTTTACAGTGCAATAAACAAAGTAAGAGTCAGTAGAAGTGATTTCAGTTGTTTATTATTTAGTTGCCTGTTTTTTTCTTTCAGGTTGGGGTTGGTATGACTGGGACACATTCCCTACTCCACTCTTTGAACCTCTCAGAATGGCAAAACTACAGGGCTACCAACCATTTAATGATGGAATGCATGGTCACATCAAATCTGCACTGTTTGGCATTTGTCCTAATTAGAACCATGCACAGTGTCCATGACACAAGAGACAATAAACATTGTGTTTTAGTTAATATTAGGTGACTTTTCAAAATTAAGAACAAGTGCTAGTAAAAATGGTTCTATTACTTTTTTGAGGAAGGCAAATTCAATTTGCTCATAAGCATTTTATCTGCTGATATTTTTGTGGCATATAATCTGATTACCCACACTACCAATAGAGCCTTTTACTCTCTCTCCTCTTTTAAGAAATTAATTGAGTTTAAAAACTATACTACTCCTTATCACAGTTTTCAACAGTCTGTACTGATTTTAAATATCAGGCCTAGGATGATAAGAAATTTTTGACGTTGCCATAAATAAAGATGATTTCTAAACTGTAATGGCATTTTCAGGTACAATCACTGTGAGCTGACTTGGGAAAATGAATGCCTAGCCTTTCATCGGTGGTTTTTTTTCTTTATCAGCTAAGCTTTCCATCCACTCCACCATATGTTAGTGAAGTAAAGTCCACTTCACGTCCAAGTGCAACAGAAATCTCTGATGATAAAAGATCGTGAAGACAAACACCATCATGTGTATATATCCACGAACCATTTTGGAAATCATATCTCTTAGGACCGCTGAAATTTTAACAGAAAAGAAAAAATATTAATAATTCTGAGTAATCCTCCTGTGAAAGTTGAAAAATAAATATAGGATGAAAAAACCCGAGAAAAGTACGTTAGTATGAGGAGAAATCCATGAAATATTAAAGGAAATCCATGAATATTAAATTTCCAAGTCCTAAATCAGAAATTGGCAGGCTGACTTTTAGGCATAGAGCTGCCATTGCATGGAATTCACTTCCTGACTCGATCAAAAAGTCTTCTAGCTTAGAATGTTTTAAAAAAAGACTTAGATCTAGTAAGGACTTAATTAATTCTATAAGTTATAATAAGGAATCTTCCATGATAAGAAATAGGAATGAGGAATTTCTTTATTAATCTCATCTTAATCAAATCATACCTAAATTTTTAAAACTTTGACAATTATTTTACCTAGTTCTTAACTATATTCTTAAATTGTAGTTCATAGTCCTATCTATTTATATTTGTACTATTATTATTACTTATTGTTTAATTTCTGTTGACTTTCTATTTATTCACATGTATACACCTTAGTTTTTAAATAGTAGATAGGCAGGTCCACATCGGGACTTCAGTCTTGCGTTTTCTGTAACCTGCGTTATCAAATAAACTATGTATGTATGTATGTATGTATGTATGTATGTATGAGAGTGAAAAGATAGATGTGAAATAAATGTTTGTTGTTTACCTTGTTGGAGATGACAACCATATTTGTTTGTTAGGGCTTTGTTTGTTAATCACATAGGTACCACGTCCAGCTGAAAGAGCACAAATACAGCAAATATTTTTTTTAAGCAAACAGTTAAATTTATTATGTAATTCAGTTAACTTTTAGTGTCTCTAGCTAGTACTCATGCAGATACTTCTAGGATAATTTAGGGTTACCAGTAGCTGTATTGCTTGAGAAAACCTCACTTCAAAGAGAAGGCAGAGGAAATACTTGGATTTTATGAAGTATGAAGTTTTCTAAGAACATGTGTAATGGTTAATTAAGGATAAAAGTTGTTTTTATTTTGTGTGATAAAAAAATGAGAACCTTACCTCCCAAGTTGACTGTAAGGACTCCATCCTGAAAAAAAAAAAAAGTTAGTACCATGGAAGTATTTTCCCTTATATTTGCTTATGGCTAAAACATTCTCACAAAAAATTGTAGGTTATGGATGATCTTTGATCCTAAGCAATAAATAGTCTTAGGGTAAATAAGATGATGATGATGATGATGATGACCTAGTATCCAGGACATTTTTTTTTTTACTTTTTAAATATATTTTTGCATTTTGAATACCTCAAATATATCAACACTACCTCAATTAGTGGATGGAATTTAAAGTAGGAAATATCCCAAGGATATGGTTCGTTCTACTTACTCTTTCTTTAAAGGAGAGAGGCTTCATTAAGAAATGTGAGTGCAAGGTCACTGTCTAAACCTTAGACTGTGCTTTAAATGAACATTAATCTATAACAGTCTCATACAAGAAGATTTAACAGTCTCTTCCCATGCCATAATCAAATTGACACTGACACTCACACTCAACTGGACATCAAAGTCAGCAGGACTTGAGGGGCTTTCGCCAAGGTCGTCAAATAACTCAGCTATACCATCCAGTGTCTCATCTGCGATACTGTGGTAAGACAACTCATCCAAGGAGCTGAAAAAATTGAAATGCAATTCCAGATATCATTGACAAAGAGTTTACATTGTGAGAGTAAGCCACTATTTTCCAAGATTTTACATTGGAATTAACCACAGGCAGCCCAGGTGAACTGTGTGTGATTTTGGGGTGTACAGGTCATTAAAGGGAACATGTAACATATTAATATTGAATTTAAAGCATTTTGAACGTGTGCTGTAAAAAATAGAAAAATTATTTTAAAAAATAGAAAAAATAAACAGGATAATTAAAGCTGCATGTGCATTAAAATGACCAGAAGTGACCAGACGGCTACAGAATAAAGGTAAGGAAACTTAACACGCTATATTTATCGCTTTTATTATAATCTTTTCTATTTTTTTTTACCTGGGGTCAACAGGTCATTAAAGGGAACATCTAACATATTAAGATTGAATTTAAAGCGTTTTGAACGTGTACTGTAAAAAATAGAAAAATTATAAAAAAAAATAGAAAAAATAAACAGGATAATTAAAGCTGCATGTTCATTAAAATGACCAGAAGTGACCAGATGGCTACAGAATAAAGGTAAGGAAACTTAACAAGTTATATTTATCGCTTTTATTTACCGCACACACTTACGCTTCAAATTCAATCTTACTAAATTAGGTATTCCCGTTGATAACCTTCAGACCCTAAAATCCCGCCCTCTTGGGCTACCTATAAATAAATGAACTGGGAAACATACCTTTCGGTACTGAACGCTCCTTCCACTCTTTCCAACGGAATCCTTCTTCGGCCAAGCTAAAATTGTACAAAGTTGAGTAAAATTTGAAAGGACGACAATATATATAAAAACAAAGTAATAAAAAAGATGCCGGGGGTTTAACCTGTAGTCTTTTCGACAGAACCCTGCCCTGTGATCTTCTACTTGCGGACAGAATTAAGCTGCTTCTACTGAAGGGAACCGAACAAAATGTCACAGACCTTACGCCAAAGTTCTTAAGGAATTCGAAACAAATACGTCGAAATGCGATCATGGTGGAAAGAGTTCCTTTGCCATCGAAATGTCGATATTCGCTAGGCGTTCTAAGGAATTGGGAGAGAGGGCCTGGGCTAAGAGTTCCCGCGGCCATTTTGAAAGTGAGAGGGTATGAAAGTCAAAGTGAAACGTAAGTGGCCTCTTCGCTGCATTTGGACCAAACTTGACTCTGTTTCATGCTGTATCAGATGAAAAATGATGTTGAAATCTTACGAATTTGTACTTTTCTTTCTTTTTTTCTCTCTCATATGGCATACCGGGATCTCGCTGCTGCACATGAAATGGCGGATTTTTTTAATTGTATCCCTTTTTGACACCATTCAGAGTGAGTACAAACAACTTAGCTTCTAACAACATTGTCATTATTCGGACCACATAGTTCTTGAAACCATTTCCAAGTTAAGTGGAAGTTAGCAGCCGTAATCACTTATCACTAGCCAAGCTAGAAATTTGGATGACATGGTAGGTCGTAGAGGGGTAAGTGTTCTTATGTATCATTTGTATTAAAATGGGACGGGGAAAGTGAGATTTCCCACCCCCTCCCTCCCACAAAAAAACATACACTCTTTTATCACTTCCTTATGTTTGACTTTTACCTTGTCTTTTCTTGTGAAATGCTTACAATTGGCAATAGTCACCCTCTACCAGAGTATTATTTTTATCATTTCTTAACACATTTCATTAACAGCATTGAGGATACATCAGCCTCATCTTTAGGGGAAGTTGAAAGATTTGCAAACCCAAGGTGCAGTAAGGGTTTGCATAACTTTCAAGTACCATGATTTCCATGACTAAACTTCTATCCAGTAGTGTTGTGCCAAGGTGACTGGGATAACTTCAAGCCTGTAAATAGCCTCAGCTTGGATGTTTGTGTGATCTTAAATTATCCACTCAGACCTGAATGTAATCATTTGTTCTCTAGGTGGATTGGTGTAGCTACCTGGCGCTGGGTTGCCAATGATGACAACTGTGGTATTTGCCGCATGGCATTTGATGGCTCCTGTCCAGACTGCAGGATACCAGGAGACGACTGTCCTTTAGGTAAAATCAAGGGGCTATTAGTAAGTTAAGTGGCCTGTTGTCTGTGAAATAGGGTAATTTGTAGTGGTAAATTTGAATATGAAAGGAGTACTGTAGTTCTAAGAAATGTTCTGACCTCTCCAAGATAATTAATTTGGCTGTTTTGACTCCACCTGTTTCTCTACTAGTCAAGCAAGCTGGTTTATTACTCAGCAAATAATGGCAATTTAAGCCCTCTTTTGGTTTGTAAAGTAAGTAACGAAAAAATAAGTCATATTCCAGACTAAATACGAGATTATTTAGGTGATACTTTCTTATAGTATGTAATGTCTGTTTTCTCTTTCAGTTTGGGGTCGCTGTTCTCATGTCTTTCACATGCACTGTATTCTTAAATGGCTCAACTCACAGTTGCATCAACAGCTGTGCCCTATGTGCAGACAGGAGTGGCAATTCAAAGAATAAACCTGTGCCTAATTAACTTCTCACTAATTTAACAAGCATTTTAGGTTGTTTTGTGTTCACATTGAAAATGGTTCATTTGCTCCCTTCAGCCGCTCAGGGGGTGAGGAAACAACGCAGATACTAACTTGATATTAAAGTATAGTGCCTGCATTGGGTAGTCTAAAAGCCATCTTTTTAGTCAAAAATAAAATTACACATCCAATTATGAGCTCAGATCTGAACTCATAAGAATGTTTTTCTCCCACAAAATGAAATATCCCAACATCCATTGTAAATTATCCATGTTTATTTCAAAGATTACAATCTGTAAAATGCTTGCTGTGGCTACCTAAGAAAACATTAAATTATTGCAAAACACATTTACATGCTTGTTGTTTCTTTTAAGGGGGCCTGTACACATCATTTACATCCTAAAAGGTCTTGAAATAACTTTACTCTTAGGGAAACACAATTCACACTAGCTTAGGAGGAACAGACCAGCACCACATCAATATTACACTGCAAACAATTCAGTTTGAGTGAATCACAAGTAAGCTGCATTCAATTTGTTCCAGACCAGAATGGTGATCCTTGGTAGCCACCCTGATGACCCTTACTCTGCCCTTGTTTTGGCCCCTGTCCTTGGGACCCTCTCTGAGATGATCCAGGCTGGCCTGTTTCCATATGATGAGGCATATGGTGGTGATAGTGGAATGGAGGGTGGTGTTGCTGCACAGGGGTCATCATTGACATGAATGGGTGTCCTGTATGTGGATTGCTTCCCAGTGGACCATGCTGTCCTGTCATGGACAGATTTAATGCGGGTGGTGGAGGGGTACCACCCATAAATGGTTTGTTGTCATTGAACTAAAAAAGGAAATAAATTATTTCACATCAACATTCACCAAAATATCTGGTAGTGAAAAACTAAACCACTTTTAACCCATAGTTTTAAGTATAGAGTACCCAATGACAAAAGGTTAATATTTGCAATACTGACAAGTCCTTAACGAAACAGAATGCTAGCCCTTGTATAAATGTTGTTTGTAGAGGGAATTAAATCTTCCTCTGAGTGTATTTGATAACATTGTCTTATTTCAACTTATACACAACAAACTAATTAAGTCCTTAGACCCCCTATCTATTAAAGATAAGTGTCACAGAGAAGGAAGAGAATTGTGGCCAGTCATCCTCTGATTCCTTACCCGGTGAATTTTGTTCCTTAACAAATACAAGGCTGTGCTCTAAAGAAAATTGAATGGAGCCCAGTGTTTTGAAACCGTGAAATCCAGGGTGCCTATGTATGTGCTTTGTAAGAAAAGACTAAAATTCCTGAGTCACCCAAGAGTAAAAGTAAGGCACCAAGGGACACCGGGTGCTGCTAGACAACAGCCTTGAAATACATTAATTTCATCATTATTTACTTTGAACATTGTCTAAATGAAAATACATGATATTTTACCTTTCCAACTTGAGGTTTATAAGAAGCTCCTGAGAGATCTGAAGCGCTACTTACAGCTGCACCTGTCAACATGAGAAAATTTTTTAAGCTTGACTTGTGCAAAAAATGATAATATTAAATAAACATATGGATGTGTTGATATTCCTTAGTTGAACTGTATCATCAACTCACTGTGTGCAACCGATAAATTATCACTTTACATCACCAATATTGAGTAGCTGGTATGAAAGTCTCAAACCTGAATTAGATTTACTCTGTGATGGTGAAACTGAAGTATGGTAACCAGACTTCCCAAAGTCGTGTGCCTGACCTAAATCGTCATATCCTATTGGCAAAGGAAATATAAATGATTAATTTGTGGACAACTAACTAAAACAAAACAGGAATATCTTTCTTATTCTTTTAAAAAGACAGAAATAGTTTCACCATAAGCAGTCACAGCTACTAACATGGGTGTAATATTAAAAACATAGGTATTAAGTAGTTTTATTCAGAGGTATCCAGGTTTCAAAAATTCAGATGTATAATAGACCTGATGCCAGGCCCCAGTTGTTCAAAGGATGGATAAATTTATGCAATGGATAAGCTTATTCAGTGGATAAAAGGGCTATCCAGTGGACAGTTATCCAGCAGATAAAAAGTTGTTGCAGAAAGCACAGATAGCAAAGCGTTTAACTATCCGCTGGATAACTCGCTATCCAGGCAGTTGCCATGGTTATAACCCAGGTGTTGTGTGATCTGTTTGCTCGCGCATGTAAGTGGCGAGCCAACATGGCAGAAAATGTTGCTCTTTCCCCGGCAAAGCACGCTAGAAAGCCAAACTTTACACCTGCTGAATGTGCAGTTATTTTCAAAGAGGCGGAAGAAAATATCAACACTATTAAGAGTAAATTTTCCTCAACACTTTCGAACAAAAACAAAACTCGACTAAGGGAAGAAATAACTGACAAAGTCAATGCAATCTGTTTGGGGTGCAATGTAGTCGGCAACAAGGCCAACAATGTATTATATCACCTCTCAACCAAAACGGTACCTGGATCTCAATTCAGCGTCTGTATCTGTTTGTAACAGATTGAGCTGGTGGTGATAAATTCTTCTCTTTCTTCGCTGTTGATTTTTGGGCAGGTTACAGTGAAGAAGATGTAACTGTTGAACAGCCATTTTATTTGTGTTTATCCAGTGGATAAAAATTGATACTACCTGACCATGGATAAATTTAACCGCTGGATAGCACTATCCATGCTTTGAACAACTGATATGACGCCATCGATAAAATTTATACGCTGGATAGTGACTTATCAAGTGGATAAGAAGTTATCCATCCTTTTAATAACCGGGGCCAGGTGGATAACTAACATATCACAGGCAAATATGTAACTGTTATGCTGACCTGAGGTGTAAGCAGACTGATACTGAGAAGCATTCCCATGGGTTTTTGTTGGCATCTGTGGAAGAAAAGAAGAACTTGTTTTAATATGTTCATTTTTTGTTTCATTCAGAAGCTGAAGTTTGAAGGTCACCCTTTAGCCACCAATCTCATAACTTAACATGTGCAAAGCTACATGCCTGATACATAGGTGCAGTGTAAGCAGGGAAGCCCCCTGCCATCATTCCAGCCCCAGGGTAGAATGCTAGTCCACCATAACCATAAGGATGTGGCATGGTTGTTGCATTGATGAAAGCCTGCTGCTGAAGATGAGCTTGAGGAAGAGTCACAGCTTGGTTCAGGGATGAAGGAACTGGAGAGGATGCATCAGTCCGCCCAAACTTTTGATCACCTAACAAATAATACAAAGTGTTCAAGTAACCATGTACAGCATATCAAACACATACTTTAAAAAAAGTTACAAATTAAATTCTCAACAAAACATCCATAGGAAGTCAATGAATTTAAAAATCTGCCATGGTCTTCCTCTTTGTTTCCCTTCTTTTCATTTCCAAAGTGGTCCACTTGGGTATATCATGCTCCTTGGGTCTTTGGGAGTGCTCATTCATTAGATGGCGATTTATTTGTTAGAACAACCTATCTTGCCCCCCCTAAATGCCCATGGGAAAAGACAAGGATTTCCTCACTAACAAGTCCTGAATGCAAACCTGCAAACAAACTTTTATGAATACCTTTCTGGAATACAGTATGCATGCTTACCATGAAATGTTGTTGAGAGGCCATCCCTTCCAGCTGCTTGAAAAGCAGGCATGTCATAGTATTGAGACTGCAGATGAAGAGCCAATTTGTTAGTGTATTCCATACTTCTACTGCTCTGTAGTCAGAGACTCTACATAATGTAATTTGGTGGTACAATAGAACAATTCTATGTGGCTGCCACAGAATAAAATAATTAAATTTGAACCGAATTGTACCCTAAAGCAGAATAATAATTACCATTTGAAGTCTTTGAAGATCTTCATAACCATATGGAAGGGGCTGCAAGACAAAATAAAATAAACATCAGATAAATTTCCTGAAAAAGTCACACAACAGGTACGAGTATTACTTACATAAGCATGAATAAGGCCTTGCTGCATTCCATAAACCGTGTTTAATGGCAAAACTCCCGGAGGTAAGGATGGCTTGGCTGAAATTTGAGGAACACAAATAATTTTAGCTTAGCTTGATTTCTTTTGTCGTGACAGCAATTACACATCATCCCTTTATAAGCAAACAGCAGAGTCATATATATTGGTAGGTAAATATAAAAATAAAATTCCCTTTCCATGATTTTATATCAAAATGTTGGGAATCTATTTTAAAACAGTGATCTAAAAAGTATTATTCCATGAAGAGGGAAAAATTGGTGTGAATCAAGTCATGGTTTAAGTAGTACTTTAAGGTACATGTATGATTGAACTGCAACATTAATCTGGGAAAGGATAATACTGAAACTAATTCAGACTAAAGCTACATACTAGCGTGAGACACTGGTTTGCCTGTGCCTGACATGGTCACTGTGGTGAACCCTGATGATATCGAAGCTGTTGACTGGTTCACTGTTGGGGGCACAGGCACCCCAGGAGGGGGTTGGAGTGGCTCCACAGAAGACAGTTCATTCCGTTGCACTGCAGTTGACACAGCAGAACTACTCAACGAACTAGTACCAAGCTTGTCTTTTGTTGATGTCACTGTTGGTTGAGGCACATGATGTTTCTGAAAGAAACAACATATTTAGACAACTTTATACTGTCATAAAAGAACTGCAAAGTAAACAGTGACAAGAAAAGAAAAGCAATAAAAGCCTTTTAGAATGAAGAACAGAATGCAATGATGATATTTGCTTACATATTGGTACCTCTTTGTTTCCATTGTAATTTAAACTGACAACAATTGTCAACTGTAAGGATTGAAATGAGATTCAGCTTTTAAGAATAACCCTTACCTGATATGTTCTTGTCTCAAGGGTGATATCTTTTGGTATTGACGAAGATAACCCTGGTCTCAATGGCGATGAGGAGCCAGATTGAGTGAGATTTGCCCCACCAAGCGAAGGCGATGGAATGGCAGGGGATTGCAGACTGGTGGAAGATTTCTGTTGATCATCTGAAAGAGGTGGTTTGCTGGATATGATATTATCTCTTGAATCAAGCTGTGGAGGTAGTGGAATTGGCTCAGGTGTGATTTGCTGCAAGAAATCGAATGACATGACAATTATCTTCTATCACAGGATCTGATGCACTTTTTGGGTCTCAAAAGGTCAACTAAAACACCTGTAAATCTGGTAATTTTCTCCACAAACCTTAGTTACTTGAGACACAAGTGATTGTTGTTGACTTCGGGGAGATGGGTGCTGAAAATGCCGAGGTGAACTCTCCTCTAGCGTTGTCACACTTGATGAAGCTGAGGCAGAAGTTGCTATTGTGATAGGTTTGGTGACAGATGAGGATGGCAGACTGGTCACAGTTCGCTGAGGTTCCAAAGGTGGA